CTCTTTTAACTTTTATTAAAAATGTAGTGATGATCATGAATATGTATCTAACAGAAAAATGATAAACTGATACCAAAAGTATGTTGATAGTACTTTGTATAAATTCAAATAAACAAAATGTATATTCAGTATGTTGCAACACATATACTTGAATATTTTTAATAGATGTTCCCTCATACACAGTAAGAAGACATTCTGAAGACTTTCCTGTCATCAATTTCTTTTTTTAGGTCCCTGAATCAAACAATGATAAAGTGGTATAAAGGATTTTACTATAAAACAAGTAATAATATATTCAGCTTTCCCTATATTAATTAGAGTAGCACTCGACACAAATTTTCACACTAAAGTGTCTTCATTTCTAATATATTCACCAATATCAGCTTGGTGGAAACATATAATATCCATTGGGTTGGCATGTCTGCATTCTGACGTTGATTTTGCTGCAACACCAAATCCCTGTAAGAGAAGAGAATATAAAAGCAATTATATCTGAATATAAATAAGCTTACTTAAAATTACATACATGCATATACATAAAAATACATAGCTACACACGCACGCGCACGCACGCACGCACGCACGCACGCACGCACGCACGCACGCACGCACGCACTCACACACATACACACAACACACACACACACACACACACACACACACACACACACAACACACATACACACAACATACATACATACATACATAGATACACACACACACACACACACACACACACACACACACCACACACACACACACACACACACACAACACACACACACACACACTTTAATCATATCAAGTAAGACATGATTCCTGCACTACAAAAAAAAAAAAAAAAAAAAAAAAAAAAAAAAAAAAAATTTAACTGATAACTGTAATCTGTGTATACCATATATGGTCAGTACTTACCATAGGAATATCATTATGAGTATAAACAACAACACCAGCATATTTGGGTGTGTTGTCAGATATACGGAAAAGTCCTGATTTGTAGATGTGGTTGCCATACATGAAGTTCTGTTCTGAGGCTTCTTTCACCCAAACTTTGTGCTGAAAGGTAAAAACAAAATCAGACAAGTTTATTCTTAGTATTATTCTTAGTATTATTACTATTATTACTATTTTTATTATTATATTTTATTGGTATTATGTGTATGGTATGTATGTCTGTCTGTGTGTGTGTGTGTGTGTGTGTGTGTGTGGTGTGTGTGTGTGTGTGTGTGTGTGTGTGTGTGTGTGTGTGTGTGTGTGTGTGTGTGTGTGGTGTGTGTGTGTGTGTGTTGTGGTGTGTGTGTGTGTGTGTGTGTGTGTGTGTGTGTGTGTGTGTGTGTGTGTGTGTGTGTGTGTGTGTGTGTGTGTGTGTGTGTGTGTGTGTGTGTGTGTGTGTGTGTGTGTGTGTGTGTGTGTGTGTGTGTGTGTGTGTGCGCATGCGTGTGTGTGTGCTTGTGCATGTGCATATCATGTGTGTGTGTGGGTGTACAGGTATGTGTGTTACCTGCCCATCATATTCAAACAAGAATTTTACTTAAAATTGTAAAATAACCATATTACAAAAATCTATTTCCAAAACATTTGTCAGAAAAAAAATATTTTCAGATGAAAATACCTGGCAGTATGGACTAAGGAATTCCAAAGCTGTAATGTTCAGAAGAAATTTTTTTCCTTTGGTTATCTTGCCAAAGCACACCCCCATGGAAACAAGATTTTCTCGAGGCAAGAGGGCAGCAACCTTCATGACGTCCTCTTTGACATAATACACACGACCTTTGTGTAAACGGAAACAGTAGAGGCCATCTGACCGATCAAGTAGGGATTTGATGTTGGAACCAATGCTGTGAAAAAATCATAATAATAAATAATAATAACATATATATAAACATAAAATCACCTAATTATGTGGTACAAGCTCAATTCAAGTAGGATAATTTTGGATACTTTTAAACAAATAACCACTAAAGAACAAGACATCTGAATTCATGTTATGATGATGTTTGACATCAGTGACATGAATAGGGGGGGGGGGGGATCAATTCCCCAAGACTCTGATTGCCCCCCTCAAAGTCTGGCTTACCCCGCCTCCTAAGGGCCACACCCTCAAGGTTTATTCCCCTAAATCATATTTTCATAGCTCTGTTTATTGCTTAAAATGCTCCTGGAATAGGACATTTTTCATTGCTTAAAAATCTTTCTAAATTTTCTAAATTTTCTACATGGGCTTGCAGTTCCCCAGAAACTGATTGTGCTCCCTTAACTCACCATCCTCGCCCCCCCAAGGATAGGCTTATATGATGCCCCTGCTAGATACAAGTATTAATATCAGGAAACTGATCTATTCCGTGATTCAAAAAAATCTTATAAACATCAGTAACATATATCTAATTTTTTCTAGTAATGTCTAAATATAAATGCTTGGAAAAAAATGTTAAACAGCCCTAAGAGAACAGGATCCTATCACCAATTCCAAAGAACATATAACCAGCTAGCTCCACAACCATTTAGTCTGTTGAATCCAAAAATGAAATAAGCATTTTCCTAAGTTTATTCTGACAACTGTTAAAGTTAATGAACTCTGTTATCATAAAGAAAAAAAAAACATTCCCAATTTCAAAACCTATCCAACAGTTTAAAAAAATAATCTTAAATAATCTTAAAAACAATTCAACCCTACGTTCAAAATTCAGTGTTATACAAACATTTACAATACCATATTGTAGCAACTTTGGCCAATAAAGGAGGCATGGAATAAGAATGTGTATTTTGATAAGACAAACCAACAATACTGGAATGGCAAAAAATTGTTATAATAATGACAATAAAATTTGTGCTATGTTAATTGTGATTTTAGTTTGCTTATGCATAGATGGGCCCGCACCAATCACTAACACATCCTACCAGCCTTGTGTTCACTTGAGTGCTACAGAATCTTTGGAGTGTTACTTCTGCTGAATGGTAGTTGTGCAGATACTGTAACATCTGTAGCCACTACTACTAACAACAATAAAAATAATATAGTAACAATAAGAATATTAATTACTTGGTAACTAAATGCTTGTTGAGCCATCTATGTGTTAACAAATTTCACAAAACAAGACTATAGCAGCCAGTGCATTTACTTGGTTCTAATAAGAAAACTATACCTAACCAAATTCATACCAATAGCTGGCAATGATGTAAGACAATTGAAAGTAATATGTGTCAAACTAAAAGCAATTAACTGATGATTCTGTTTTTTGCCTATTAATGATAAAATGTCCTTACAGGACTGGTTTCTGAATGCCCCTATTCTAAAAAATATATAAATAAATAAATAAAAATAAAAATAATGTCAAATTCTCAAAAGAACTGAAATATATATATATATAATGGTACTTTCAATATGTTTCCCATAAATGCAAAACAAATGATAAGGCCTAGGTTATACTTTACACCAGAATTACAGGTACAAATTACTTAAAAAGGGCAGTCGCATTAGTCTATTCAGTCCAGGGATCCCATTACAGAGTGACAGACTTCCCAAGCGTGAAGGGAAGCAATATGAAAATCCCTGCAAAAGCTGCAGTCATTCTTTAGACCCAGCTAGAGAGGGAAGGATGATGCCAAAACAAAAACTGTAGTATAATTACTAGGAAGCTTATTACTTGTCTAAATGGTGATTATTGTATCATGTAAGGTATACTTGTACTATAAAAATAAGTAATATATATTATAACTAACAATGATGCCTTCCTAAATTTTTAAAAGATTATCCAGAAAATCTTTAATTTGATCAAGAAATGCGAACACCCTTCCACGCCAGCACACCCTGGTGGACAATGTGAGAGCCAGAGAACAATTATGAAATACCATCCACAAATATCATGAGGTATTGTCATGGAAAAACTTGAGTTGAGGGGTGGGTGACATAAACATCGGGCAAATTGGCTGTGGCCTGGGTGACACGAACTTGCTGTCATGAGCAAAGGCCATAATGACAGAAAAGACTCGCCATGAGTGCACAAACCTCTTGGAGTGTAATTTGACTCATTTGGAGCTTATATGGGGCCTTTACCATTATTCCCATAAAAAAATTCTAGCTTTTGTCAGTCCATCATTATGTCTCTTGTACATTACTGATTACACTAGTGGTATATACTACTGGAAAGAATATTGTCAGATTTTCGATTTCTGTTGAAATATATGGTATTGGGGTAGCTGGCACAGATGTATGATGTATGTTTGCCTTTTCTGTTTGTGTTTCTTTCTTGAATTTTTTCAATTGACATGTGACAATATTCATAGAATCCACAACTATTTTCAATGCACAATTCATCCAGTTTATTATTGACTGCTGTGATGTTTTTCTATAGAGGACACTGTGTGGTGTGGCCTGGACAAACAAGACTAGTGTGACTGTTGCTTAACCCACTAGCAGCAGTATATTTTGAAGCCAAAGATAATGGTTTCTAGGTGGCTTCAAAATTGGCGCGTGGGGTTGGCGTGGAATCTGCCCACACGCCAGTCGCGGCCCACGATGGAATCAGAGAGCAAGCTCTGATCCAGCGCCACACCGGTGGGATGCCCGGCAATGTTTATTTTTCTGGGTGTCACCTATGTGTGACACCCGGCGTAAGTCAATTAACATGATCTCTAACTGCTTGTATCATTTCTCATGACTCAGTATATACCACTTTAACTATGACTTAAATACAGGAATCAACAAAAGTGAACACAACATTGAATGTGCATTCAATAAACTGTATTACATGTATACTAAATAATCACATTTGTCTTTACTTAAGTAAACTAAGTGTAACCCTTATACTGGCAGTCATTATAACATTCACCACTGCTTTTACCCCAACAGGCCCTCTAAATAACAAACAAACTTTTCTCTATATATTCTGAGAAGCTTTTAGTAAGGAAGACTATTCTAATATTACTCCTTCTTTCTCATGTGTACTTTATAATCAAAAGTATATGGCATATGAATCAATTCTTGTTTCTTGGGCCTACAT